GGTATCAATATTTTAATCTTGATTTCTAAATAGTTAACAGTGAAGGTAATAGTGTGTGTGTGTGTGTGTGTGGTGTGTGTGTGTGTGTTATTCCATAGCTGTTATTGAATTCTATTGTTCAAAATTTTAATCATGGTATTATTTTCCTTTATAAACAAAATTGATGGTACTTATAAATCAGGGTGGACCCTGTACTCTGACTGTCTGCCTCATGTAAACAACGGCATAGGCATGTCAGATGATGGAACAGTTTTAGGTGGGCAGTCTGTGGCCCCAGAAAAGAGCAAAAGCAGCAGGTGTATATGAAATCACACTCAAAAACTTGGCTCAGAAGACACAAATACCAATCAATTATGGAAATCAGACTAAATACTTTTTACTCAATTGCTCAACCAAAATAAACCTAATTATGTTCTTTATTTGATAATATGAGCATCCAGGAAGTATTACGAAGTACACTGAAAAACAGATAAAGTGAAATTAGGCAGAGAAAGCAACTCTTGGTGAAAGAGCTACATTTCCTCAAAAGTTTGAGTCATATGACAGGGGTCTCACAATATCAGTTATGATAATAACATTTAAAACCTTTGGAGAAGAAATATGATTCTCAATTACAGGTTTCAGAGACAGAAATTAAGGCAATGATGTTGCTCAATTCAGACAGACTCTGGTTTACAGGAAGTTGGGCTAATTAAACAACACCAAAGAATTTCAATTTGTGGCATCCTGTGCTAGGGTTTGGAGATAGAAAAAACAACAAACCAGTTTGGGGCCAGGATTTATAACTAGATTTGGGAATTTTATACATGTAAATAGCAATTAAAATGACACATTTGTTTTTGTCTACAGAAAGTAAGAGTTATATAAATTCAAGTGAGATCTCTTATTGGGTGATCTGAGAGACTTCATAGAAGAGAGAATTTCTGAATGGGTTGAAGAAATACTGAGTTTGATGAGAGTGGATTGACTCTTTCAGGTAAAAGAAACACCTTAATAAAAGGCAAGGGAACTGCCCATTTTGGTTAAAGTGGAGCTTCTTTCAGAGGAGTAGGAGAAGATAATTAAAAAGAGATGGGTCAGATCACAAGAGGACTAGCATACTAGATAAAGGAGCATCTGTCTATATACTTTAATGATAATGAAGGATTCTGATTTAGAATTCCAAAGTGCAATCTTATTTGAAAAAACAGTCTCAAATTAGAAAATTGAGTACTCAAAAAAAGTACATTCAATAATAAACAATGTAGCACCTTCCTTATTAGTAAGGCTCTAGCTTTAGCAGAATGAGGCTAAACTTTAGCTTTGCCTCTTGACCTTGGAAAAATTGCCTAACTTCTATGTACATTTTTACATCATCTGTAAAATAGGGATACTAATTGTATACAGGAGGTGTTTAGAATTAAATAATGCAGGCAATAAAAAAGTACTTGATACCACTTAAGCTATGTGATATATATGTATACTTATATATACACATACACACCAAATACTTATAAACACAAAACTATTACCTATTTTTAGATCATTTATTGCCTCTCTTGCCCAGCAAAATCCTTACAGAGTATTTCTAACTACCACTCAAGAGAGTTATGAGGACCTGGAGAAAAAAAAAAAATCTTTGGTAACTGCACTGGTGAGAACAGAACTTGTAGGAAACTGCAATATTTTTGAGACGGAGTTCAAAATAAATGAATGAACGATTGAAACATATTCATAAAATGATACTAGCACTTTCACTGACCAATAAATCTTTCCAAATTTACCCAGACAATCTCTCTATGCCTTGTCAGTGAATTATAAAGAATTATGTTTGTGGCAGAAACTTAAAAAGGTTAGCTGACCTCCTCTCCTCTGGCTCGGACCACACTGGGCACAAGTGAGACTTCTTACACCTTTGCTTTTAAAACCTCCAGAGCAAATGATTCTTCTGTGTTCCATGGTGACCCTTTCTAAAGTTCAATGCTTTGTCAAAAAAATCCTTCCTTATTGCCTTAGACCACATAAACCCTTCTTATCTATCCTATCATGTTTTGGTCTTAGCTTCATTAGAGTGGCAGGCTCGGAAATTTTAAAAATCAATTTTAAGATGTTAAGTAAAATTCAGTCATTTCCCTTTGGCCTGAATTATTTTGTGATAAGATCCCATGTCATCTCAAAGAAGAAGAATGTTTACTCAGAACTTGAATGAGGACATAAAGATCATGTTTTCCAAAGAAGACCACTATAAACCGCACATCTTCAATATTCTTCTAGAACCTTGCCTCTTAACCATCTTGGGTTAAATGTTCCTTTCCCTTTATATCTGTAGCTTGCTTGTGACTAATAAATAAATTGTGCCTGAAGTCATGCAGGATGACTTCCTAAATGTCATCCTAAAGAGCAATTCAGCTTGCACCTTGCTGGACAGTCTGACTGTCCTGAGGCCAGCATGCTTGGAGGAAGCCCAAACTGACCAATGTGGCGAGAGCGCACCCAGAAACCCTTAGACCACATGAAAGCAGAGATGTCAATCAGCCCTCGATGTTGGAGCCCTCTCTGATCCTGGCTCCATTTACCATGTGATTCCAATTGCAGGAGTCTGAATTGCCCAGCCAAGCTCCACTCAAAATCTTGACCACAGAAATCAGGAAAAATAATGACATCATTATTGTTGCTTAAAATCACTATTTGGGGTGATTTGTCATTGCTGAACTAGTAACTAGAATACCCCCTTTACTAGAATGCTGTAGAGATATTTAGGTCCAGGACCTATGAAGAAAGACAAAATCAATAATCTGTAACCAACATGCATAATGGAAGACTACTATTTAAAAATATATGTATTTAGGTATGATAATGCATCTGAAGGCACTTTGTAACCTGTATAGCTCTACATAAATTCTAAATAATATTTGGTTAAATGGTGTGATGGATTCTATAACATAAATGCAGAAATCCTCACCAAAAAAGAATTTTTCCTGTTCTTCAACACATACTGCAGAAAGAATTAATTATTCCCTCTTTTGTGTGTATGGTCCACATGGCACTTCTGATCTTCCTGGTACAATTCTTCATTCATTTTTGCATGCCATCTCCCCTGATAGAGTATAACCTCCTTGAAGATAGGTCTATGTATTATTTGTTTTTGTCTCTAGGTCCTAACACAACACCTACCACACAGTAAGCATTAATCCACATTTGTCGAATGAAAAAACAAATGCATGAATAACTATTTTCTGGCAGGTGTCTGAAGGCACGGCCATGCACCAAGAGACTTTTTAAGCATAGAGGAACAATTTGATTTTCAAAAGACTCATCAGCCTCTGAAAGACAAAGGGAAGGAAATACGCCTTCCCATTTTTAATCTCCATACTGAACAGTTCCATCTGATGAACCATTTCTAGGAAGCCTTATTTTCTCACCATTCAATTGCACTTTTTCTTTTATGTGAAAAGACTGAATCTCTGAAGCCTCTAACTTCCTCTTTGATCATACATACTTTCTTTCCTATTTGCTTTGTGTGTGTGTGTGTGTATGTTTATTTTTTTCATATTTAAAGATGAAAGTCATATTTAAACTTGGAATATAAGAAAATCATTTTACAGAAAGGAAGAAGAAATGCCAAGTTCAATATTCTTACTCTTTTTCTTTTAAATCATAATTTATGTATATATTTCTTTATTTTTTAAATTTTAATTTGTCATATATGACAACAGAATGCATTACAATTCATATTACACATATAGAGCATGATTTTTCATATCTCTGGTTATACCCAAAGTAGAGTGACATCCTTTATGTCTTCATACATGTACTTAGGGCAATGATGACCATTGCATTCCATGGTCTTTCCTACCCCTACCTCTATTTCCTCTCCCTTCCCTTCCCTCCCCTTTTACCCTTTGCGCTATATAGAGTTCATTTAATCCTCCCATCCCCCCACCCTGGCAGCATATTATGAATCAGCATCCTTAAATCAGAGAAATCATTCAGCATTTGGTTTTTTGGTTTGGCTAGTTGAAGATAGACCTTTATTTCATTTATTTATACATGGTGCTGGGAATCAAATCCAGTATTGCACATATGCCAGACAAGTGCACCACCACTGAGCCACCATCAGCCCCAATTTATGGGTATATTTTAACATAAGTAGGAAGAAATGATATTTGAGACATGTCTTTAGCAGGTCATAAAATTAGCTGATTTCCTATTTTGTCATGGAATGTGTTTACAAATGACTCAAATATTTTCCTATGGCAATTTTGAAAAGGGAAAATACTGTTAGTCACTATCAAACCTTGTCTGATTTGAATAGCAGTGTAACCCTTGTTTAATATCTTTATTTTTAATTCTACTTGAAGTTTATTATTCCTTTTTATTCTTCACAAAAAAACTCCAATTTTTATAGGCATTTCTCAAGAATCCCAAGTATAGTATTGTTTGCAAATTATGTTATTAATCGGGCTGATTCATATAATTACAAATTAGGATATTTCAATATTAAACATAGCATTGGCTTCATTACCTACTGGTCCCACCTATTATAGACAGTGTTTAGTCTATTTGGGGTATTTTTTATTGTTATTTGCATATTATCATGATTGCTAGGAATTTTGCATGAGCCTAATCCCATGAAGTAAAGAGTAAAAAGCTCCTCCATGAATGGGTTTATGCTTAACAAATAAAATTATTTAATTATTTTTTAAAAATCCATATCACAGTCTGCAAGGAAGAGAATGTTCTAGCCTTCATTTTTAAAACTTAAGAGTGCTTTGGCTGTAGAACAATTTAGTGATATAAGCATAAAGCTTTCCAATAGAAACTAGTAGTAAAAAGAAATAACCACAATAACAATAGTAGTTTCATTTCATTGAGAACTTACAATATGTTAAGTATTTTTTTCAGCACTTTTTGTACTGATAATTAGAGCTAATATAGTGACCATGTACCGGAACTGCTATAGTGCTTAACATACATTAACATATTTAATCATCACTACAGCTCAGGCGCAAGATACTTACATTGTCTGCATTTTATCCAAGAGGAAACAGAGGCACAAAGTCAACCGACTTGTGGGCAATTAAGCCAAGATTAAAACCCCTTCTATCTGACTCTAGGACTTTAATCCTATGCTTCTTTTCTTCTCATGCATATTGCATGATATCCCTGTAAGTTTATAACAAAGTTTAAAAGAGACAAAATAAAATGAAGCTCACCTGGATTAATGAATACGTAAATTCCCATGGGGGTTGAATACTGGAGCTTATATTTTAACTTCTAGTTATATAATTGCACAGCCTGCGCATTCCCCAAAAGTACCAGAGAAAAGATCCCAGGGGCAAGGTGAGAAGAGGGCGGACTCCTTCTGGCACTTTAAAATGAAGTAGGCTTCCTGACCCAGCTTTCTACTCCTCCCATCATGCCTCAACCACTCCAAAACTGTATTTTTCACTCCCCATATGCCAAGATGGTCAAGGTATATATTTTATATTAATTAAAATATAGCTGATTTTGGTGTAAAGAAACTTTATTTCCAGAGGATTTGGTAACCTGTGTCCACACACTATTCCGCTATTAGTCCTAGGCACTGAAAGCTTAATGAATCAAGACTAAGAACATTCTGATCCTAAACAATCAGAACAGCTGTAATAATAAGTCCATTTTATTAACAGTATCACCTCCTGTCTATCTTAGTTTATGAGTGACCACTTCCTAATTCCCTTCTTCTAGGAAGTGAATACGAACATTCTTTTGATATCCTGATAATTGTTTAGGTGGTATTCTAGGCTTCTCTTTTGGATTATTGTTTCATCCTCCTGATCCTAGTCTATTAGCACATAGCACTGTCGTTTAACCTGATTTTCAATAGATCTCTTCTGCAGTCACCTGTTGAACAGAAAGAAAAATACTTTCTTGCCTAGGTTAATTCCTTGTAGACTCTAAGTTCTATCTATTGCATCAGCAAATATTTCCTCCACATACCATCTGGGCTCAGCCAGCCTGTAAAAACCAGCCATCATCCCAAATCTGTCACATAACAATCAGATCCGTTGAAACAGTTCTAAAGACTGTGAGCTTCACTCTGTCATAGTTAAATGATCCCTTTTACCCACTGCTAAAAATATTACATGCCTCCTGACTTTGTTTAATTGTTCTCAAAGAGCAATTTCGTAGACTGTCATTGTCACTTAAAGTTTTTGAAGAGCCAGCTCTCAAGCAGAAACCAAAATGATGAAGCTCAAAAGATTAGCATACAATCCAAAAGAGGAGTAATTTTAATAAAGTAGAAGCCACACAACTGCTATTGGCTTCATATACAGCTGTGCCATTCGGATTCTCAACTCCCAAGCTCCACCCATTCTGAAAATCTTCTTCCAGGACAGAATATCAACTTCTTAGCTGCTCAGTTACAGGCGCTTGCAGACCCTGAGGTTAATTTCTGCCTGGATCACACTCTTTGGCTTTACTCAGTCTAAAATGTGAGGCCAAAGAATGTTTAATGAGTTCCAAAGAGGCAATCACCAGGACAGAAGTGAATTTAAATTTCACACTAATGCCAGCTAGTGCTTCATGGACCGAACTGCAGCCAACCAACCTGCAGTTTATAGCTGTCTCTTCATCATTTGCATTTGGATTTTCTTCTATGCCACTAGCACCTCAATTTGTTTTTAAAGCACAGTGTTCCAAAGTATGGGTTTTAATGTTCTATACGGATATTAGGCTTTGACTTATTCTGAGAGTTTTCTAGTTTTTTTATAAGGCACATTAATTCTCGGCTTCCCACCCCCAGTTCTTTCCACTTTTACTAAGGAATAAAGGAGAAAACACAATTGGATACACTGTAATCTGGCATTGGACATCTCATTTTTCCTAACTACAATAAAAGACAAAATAGAACCATATACCACTGCGTTTTATTTTGCCACTGTTGATCAGCAGGGCTTAAGGACCACTAATCAATTTCTAAGTCCTTCCAATGGTTAAAAAGGGAGTCTAAATGAGGAATCAAAGGAAGTGTACTCAGTGCACATAAGCCTCATTGCCAGCCATGTCAGCAATAGGTCAGAGATAATGTTTCCTGTGTTTGAACTGAGCAGTTTTCCTAATTTTCAAAAAAAAAAAAAAAAGAAAAAGTCTCATGGCCTGTACAATTGGCAAGGTGGTAACAATGCAAATAAGCAAGTTTTATAATCCAGACTTGGTACTATTGATTTCTCTCTGAAAGGATTAAATGAGATTTTTTATATAGTGATCCCCTAAGGCATGTGCAGAACCTGAAAATATTCTTACTACCAAAGATCTTTAGTTTGAAACTAAAGCAATAGAAAGGCTTTCATAGGGTGCTAGCGTTGTAGCTCAGAAGTAGAGCACTTGCCTAGCACATATTTGGCACTGGGTTCAATCCTCAGCACCACATAAAAATAAATAAATAAAAGTATTATGCCAATCTACAACTAAAAATACTTTTTTAAAAAGGGGTTATATAGGAAATGAACCATTTGAGTATTTTACTCATGTTTATTCATAAGCCCAATAAAGATTTATTGAATGCCATTGTATACCAGACATTATGGGAATCGGATGAAGTGCTAAAAACCCTTAAAAACCGAGTCCATTAACAAGGGGTTGGAAATAGCAAGGGTGGAATACTAAACCAGAGAAAATACATCCTTAAACAAAGGAAAGTTAAGGGGTATCCAGTTTTTTGCTGCTGGGGTATCCTAATACTAGTACTCAGCAAGTCTGGGGATCAGAAAGCATCCCCAAGCCTAAAATTGCTCATCAGGTAGAGTCTTTCCCCATTCTACCAACCCAAATCTCATTGCAAAATCTGTCTGTTCTGAGCAAGGCTGATCTATGGGCACAGAGCTGAGGGAAGCAAGCATGGATATGTGTCACTGGAAGTTAGCACAGGACCCAGTTTCCTGGCAAAGGCTTTCAGCAACATAGGACAGGTGGAAAGGGAGTAGACTCCTGTTGTGAGCCAAGACTAAATTTTTACATGAAGAATTTGCAAAGTACATTTTATTGCATACCACCATATGGCAACTCCCTGACATGCTTCAGAATTCCTAGGTATTGTATGTGCTCAATATCAATGATTTCTCTGAAACACATTCAAGACTTTGAGCATAATTCCATCAGTTACAATATCTTTTCACATCAACTTTAAAGTAGTTTTAAGAAATATGATATACGAATTACCAGTTGTCCACTGAATGAGCCCTAGTTTTGTTACTTTGTAAATACTTTTACCTTGAGAATTTAAAAAGAAAAAAAAATACTTCCTTAAAAAGAAGTACAAAAAAAAATCCCTACTTAAGGCCTTGGTGATAAATATTGAATTTTGAATTAGGAAAATTTCATATAAAAAAGGAGGAAGCCATTTATTTTAAGTAATAGAAATAAATGCAAAAGAAAAAATTGTAAGAGAAAGCTTTGGAATCAAATATAATCCAGTGGTAGAGGCTTTTCTCTGCAATTCCAGAATAAAGAAAGAAGGTAAGATCTTTATAAAATCTGCTTTCACTCCTAAGATCTTTTGTGGCACGGTCCTATCCTCTTCCCAGTACTAGTTAATATAAAGTGCGTGATTAATGCTAAGACACACACCATGGAAAAGTAAACCACCACAGTGATAGTAAATCTATGTATATTGCTTGGCATTAATCCTATATTCTTTGTGTATTTGTATTATCCTTAATTAAATTATGAACTTAGATATGGATTGTGAATAGACAATTTGCATGGGGCACAAATCCTTTGAAAGAAGGAAATTATTCTGAAATAAAATAGTCAGTTGACAAGACATAGTCTAGGCTCTGAATATGAAATTAAGGATATAAAATGTGTTTTTATTGGATATTTTCAGTCCATTCAGTTTAAGACATAATTGAAGTCCCCCCAAACAAAATAATGCAGCTCAAAAATTAAAATTCCTTTTGACAGAAATATTTTATAAGTCAAAATCTTGTTCCTATATTTCAGTAGCAAGTACTGTGAGAAGCATATCCATGGCACTAGTTTTCAACATGTGTTTATCAAAGGTTTACCATGTAGGCAGAGCTGGGTACTACCAAGATTGTAAAGATAAGTTACCAGTGAAATCTGCTCTTACGGAACTGTTAGAGACAAGACATGCACACAAATAGCTGAAATACAAGCAATAATCATTGTCTCAGTGATATTAAAATAGTTTTTGTCAGAATGCTATCAATTTTCAAGAAGAGGGGGGATTATCTTCGCCTTACTTCAGGAGAGCAGGAAAATTTTTCACAAGAGATGGCATTAAAGCTAGGCCTTGGCAAGTGGGTAGGATTTAGATACATGGAGAGAAAGGTAAATCCAAGTAGAAGAAAAAGAAACCCAAGCTATGGAGATGGCACTATTCTAAACACTGGTGATACTGTGGAAAACAACAGTCACTGACACTTGTATTCCTGCAGCTTATGTTCTGAGGAGAAAATAGAAAAAAAAATATATAACTGGTAGGTAAGTTATATGGTATATTAGGAAGCAATAAGTAAATGCAGAAAAATAAATCTGGATAAGGGAGATCTAGAGTCCTCATTCTAAAATAAGGTAATCTGGATGGGCCACAGCACAAAGACATTTAACAAGGCATCGAGAAAGCAATCCCAAAGATCACATAGGAAAGCAGGAGCAGAAGGAGAGCGTTGGTTGATGAAATTGTTGGCAGAATAAAGATAGATTGCAGAGGGCCTCAAATGCCAAACTAGGGAATTTGGATTTCATATTATAGACACTGGGGAGATTTTAACAGTTTTTCAGGAAAGATTTAAAAAAAAAAAAAAAAAAAAAAAAAAACCTGGACTGTGCTTTATGTAGATGACTCTGGCAGGCAGTTTTAATGGAAGAGACGGAAGAAGGAGGCAGGAAGGTCTCTTTACTTCTTCTCCAAATTGATAGTCAAGTAAAATCTAGTTTATATACATTATTGCTATTCATTTAAAAAGCATATATTGAAGAACTTTCACAGGCCAAACATTGCTCCAATCTCACAAGAGCTCCTTACTGTCAGAATGGTCATATCTCTACCTTTGTGGATCCTACACATGCTAGTGGGGGTGTCAGACAATACACACAGTGAACAGCATATGCAATCAATGTAAAAGATAAACTATGATAGAATCTTTCCTCTGGAGAAAAGATATAGTAAGCTAAAGGGACTATAGGAGTGCTGGGAGACGGAGGTGAGGCTGGAGGTCAGGTGTAGGATTAAATTTTGCCTGTTACCAAAGGCAATATTTGTACTTCTAAAAAAAAAAATTATAAAGATTTCTATGCTGACATAGATAAAATAAAAACCAATCAATCTCTTAAATTTTACAACATGTCAAAACAATGCAATGGCCAAAGAATCACAAAAGTATTTCTAAGTCTCATGTCTCATCTATATGAATAATGATGTACGTTACTCATAAGTTAGAAATTCTAAGAGGAAACAATGTTAAAGATTTGTCTCTCCAGACAGAACTCGGACAAATATAACCCATGGGAAAAACACATTGGACTTAAAATGACAGAGAAAAAGAATGTTATTCTAGAGTTCTGAATCCCATAAGAAATATAACAATAACTTCCTTGATATATTGCAGTTAAACACAAAGCTTTGTAAAAAGTTTTAGAAACTCAACAATTATATCAACTTCAATTTCAAAGTATCAATGACAAATTATTTTCCAGCAAGCACTGGCTACAAATGTTTCAACAACACTTTCTAGCAAAACATTTGTATGGCAGATCAATGAACTTAACGATCTCCATCCATGATACATTTATTCCAAAACTTAGACCTGGAAATGGACACTTTCTGTTTGGACAAGTCTCTTGATTTTGTCAGCAAAGGATGGCAAAAGTCCAAAAAGCCTCATACTGAAAAACCCTCTCAGGTTCCAGCTTTAGATTATTTCTTTAGAAGCTTCAACTCAATGCCATTCTACTGCAACATGACAGCAGCTACTAAGTCATGATATCACAAAATGATTGCCCAAGGCGGAAACAACAACTAAGAGAAATTCTGCTTCTGATAATGGTGAAGTAATACATACCAGAAAAATCTTTTGAAGATGGCAATGACAAACTATGGGCCAACCATAGTGAACAACCATCTGAAGTCACCGAGAAACAACTAAAAATAAGCAGAAAAATAGAAGAGAATAGTAATAGGTGAGTTTCCCAGTATTTTTTTTTAAATAATTGTTTTTGCCATAGGGCAGACAGATGGGACATAGTGCCTAGTGGTGAAAAGTTGGATAAAGTTCTATCTTTTGTTGGCTGGAAAAATCAGAGGTCAGCTTGAGGGTCTACTACAGATAAGAGGAAGTGAAGGAAGAAATTCCATTATTACCCTTCAGCCATAGATCACTGGACAGTACCTAGTGTAAAATCAGGGTTTATGGATGCATAGGAATGAGGCAGTCACATACCACAGACAGTCATGCAGAACACATGTGCTCTGTATTTGGGGCTTCTGTTTTGTCCTTTGGGGGACTACTTAAGGAAGCAGAGTTTTGCTATGGATCGATGTTAAGAAGTGGAGGTAATTCTATGATTGGGTATCTTATCAACTCTTACCTTCAAACTCTTAAAGCAGCAGCAGGCACGTATGTTACCCACAGAGGGGGAGTTTATACATTCTTGTGGATTGGAGAATGTTCGTCTTTTGGGCCTTGATTATATCTTTTTTGTCTTAATTTATCATGGTCACAGAATAGTCCTGACTGTTAAAGGTATTTTGAGAATTTGTTTTTTAGGGCTTAAAAAATAGAGTATCCCAGCCTACTCCGGCTGCCTGGCTAACTTTTAGCAACATCAAGTACCACCAGTTCTTGCCAGGCTAGCTCCCAGCTGCCAAGATTTTCCTCTTCCTCATCTGGAAAGAGCCACAGAGAGGAAAGCTTCAAATTCTGCCAAATATCTGGCTGATTCCAAGCAGCTTTGTTAAAGTTAAAAAGACTCAAGAAATATTTCAGCTCTTGCCCACTGGAGATAAGACAAGGATTGGGAACATTCATTTTTGAATATGTAACACATTTTGAAATTTCAGGAGAATTAACAGTCTACTAAAGTGAAAAATAAAAATTATCTCAGTAGACCTAACATCAAGCAAATTAATGTCCAGGATAGAATAAGACATATAAAGAAACAAGAAAATGTCACCCATACTCAAGAATAAAATGAATCCATAAGCAGGAGCACAAGATGACCAATATGATGGGAAGTGACTGAGAGTTACTTTAAAACAACTATTATAATTATGTTCAAGGACATTAATGAATATAACATTCAATAAGCAGATAAGAAATTCAGTAGAGGAATAAAAACTAAAAACAAAAGTGAGGAAATTCTAGAAATAAAAAATTTAATATGTGGAAAAAAAATTCACTGGTTGAGTTTTACAGCAGAGTAGACCAAAGAATTAGTAAACTGAAAATGAGATTAACTTAAAAATATCTATTTGGAAGTCACAAAATAAAATAAACAGAACCTCTGTTCCCTCTATGGGACAATATTAAAAGGTATAACCTATGTCTCATTGGATATTGGGTTCACAGGAGAAGAGAGAGAGAATGGGCAGAAAAAAATAATTAAAATATTATGATGGTTAAAATTTTCCTAAATTTATGAAGACACATACATGTACAGATTCAAATAGCTCAGAAAACTGCAAAAAAAAAAATTAAAATCTCAAATCAATGTCACATTGATAGAAACAAAAAAAAGAAAGAATCATGAAAACAGAAAAAATGACACACTATGCATAGGGGAATGATGGTACAAGTGACAACTACCTTCTCATCAAAGACATTGGAGGCTAGAAAACCCAAGGTGAAGGAAAGAAACTGTCCCCTGAGAATTTTATTTCTAGTGCAGATGCCCTTCCAGACTGAAGATGAGATAGACATTTTCACATAAACAAAAACCAAGTGAAAACGCCTCTCACAGTGTGTAGACCCACACTTTAAGAAATGGTAAAGATGTTCTGTGGCCAAAGAAAACTTGCTTTTTGATGGAAACTTGGATATCTAGGAAGAACTTACAAAACGGTCAATAGGTAGGCAAATATAAATATAAATTAAAACTGAAAGTTAATAAAGTAATCATTGATAATGAATCCAAAGAAAACAATTTTTAAAAGTCCATTATGAATCACATGGACTTGCTTGCTGACAGTCTAAGTTATACCATTACAATGTACATATTAATTTCAAATGGTTTTGAAGAGTGGAATTTGGACTCTTCAAAATCCTTAGAGACTCTAAAACAGTGTCAAGTTTAGTAGCAAGTATTAGTTTTAAAGACATTGCTTGTTAGCATTGTCAAATTAGATATTCTTGACACAATTCAGGAGTACACTTGGGCAATCAATATAAATAGCATCTCTTTTGTGAAATTAATTGGAAAATTAGATTTAATGTTTAAATGTACATTTAAAAGATTCACTAAAATGGATCAAAACAGCTTTCAAACTAACCACTTCTGCTGGCTAGGCCAGCTTCCTTCAACTATTTCCATCTTAACAAAAAAAACAAAAACAAATTAAAACAAACTCAAGAATGAAGGCAAATGTCCTGCTATTTCAGGTCAGCTTACTCTAAGTGAGGAAGTCCATTTATATTTGAGTTATTTGCTTTAATGCCCCTCATTGCCTTAGCAAGCCTGTTTGCACCTTGATGGATGGTCTCTATTATAAAAAATGTATTATAAGGCTCAGAATTTGCTTTAACATGCACTGAAATTCAACCTTTGCAGGCCAAGGTAATATCATTTATACTATGTTTAACATCCTATTACTTAAGTTAGCAGAGCATTTAAAGACTGGAAGTTTCATAATGCACTTTTCTAAGGGATAAGAATTTATCAGAGTATGGGAGAATCATTCTGAGTTCAAAACAACACTCTTCAGGTCTATGTGTGGAATAGTACCCTAATCAAGAAGTTAGGAGCCCTAAATTTTAGTTCTGGCCTTGGCATTAACCAGCCATGGTGGCTTAAGAAAACCATTTAGTTTATTTTGTTTTTGCAAAAATTTGTACTAATGTATTCTAGATGTTTTTAATGTAAAGGGATAGATTAATTTAGTTATATTTCTAATAGGAAAGTTAAATTCTATGAAAATGCTTGCTTTTACTTCTAAGCATCTTTCAAAGACTCCATGACTATTATATTTCTTTAATAAGAATTTCATTTGGGATAATAAAAATACTTATGTGAAAATAAAAATTACAATTTGGGAACCACATGTTATCTTTATGATAAAGGCTTGTATATGTACCCAAACACCTCAGAACTTCTGATCCACAAATGATATTTTAAAAAATGTCTGATGAAGCCTACATGCCCTTCAATACACGAATGGATAAAGAAAATGTGGCATATATGCACAATGGAATATTACTAAGCCATAAATAAAAATGAAATTATAGCATTTGCTGGTAAATGGATGGAAATGGAGACTATAACACTAAGTGAAATAAGCCAATCCCCGAAAACCAAAGGCCAGATGTTCTCTCTGATATGTGGATACTAATTCACAATAAGTGGGGGTGGGGAGTAGGAAAGAATACACAACCAATGTAATTCCACATCATGTACAACCAGAAGAATGGGAAGTTATACTCCATGTATGTATAATATGTCAAAAGACATTTTATTGTCATAACTAAAAAGAACATATTTTTAAAAGGAAAAAATGGTCTGGTGATTTGAGAAAATAATTTAAGGCA